AGGGGACACCTCAGCAGGAGCTCCCCAGGTGCACCAACTTCTGCCCTGGAACTGACCCCCTCCCGACAGAAAGAAGGCTGGACCACCTCACTCCCGGCTTCTGGGGTCTTCCCGGATGAGGGCCGGCTACCAAGTACGCTACTGCAAGAGACGCGTAGCTCTTTTGCCCAGAAAATAAAGGGTTTAGAAGGGCAAATTAATTCTGGTGCTGCTTAAAGAGAAATAACCGCTTCCGCCCGGGATTTTAATTACGGAGCTCTGCAAGAGCTGTGAACTCTGTTTTTCTTCATTATTTTCGGAGCAAGTTCTCCTCCTTCTCCCCCGACTTCCCACCACCACGTCCGTGTTTGCTCCTCGACCTTCTCTTGTGTTTTCCAACCCAGTGACTCAAAGCGAACCGGAGTATGCTGCTGGATGCTTTCAGGGGCTGGATTTTAACATTCTATTAAAATTTCAATGGATGTCCTGTGAGTTGGGAATTTCCTATCTGCAGAAACCTTTGCCTTCATTCTAGTTAAGAAAATAAAAAACAAAAAGGCTGTTCCCTGTGGCTCTGTATTCCAAACGCTATAAATTCCAAAGATTAAAGGGAGCCCGGCCCCCCTCGAGACCCCCTTTCCCTGGCGTGGCTGGCAATCAGGCCTCTAATTACGTTTCCTGTTTGCAACCGGCAAATAAAATATTTAGGCAGCCTACGCTGAGTGTTCCGGGCCCGGCCCGGCCCGCAGCTGCACTGCCCCCAAACAGGAAGGCACAGAGACAAAAAAATTAAATGAAACAAATGGCAGATAAATACAGGCGCGTCGTTTTAAAAATTCATAAACACTAGCCTCTGATGCAATTTTATTTTGGGTAACTAGTGAAAAACCCACGTAACTTACTGAAGAGATTCGATTGAAGCATGATTTTTCAAGAAATGACATTGAATGGCTTCCCACCGTGTGTGCCGTGGCTCGGCAGGCTCCCGGAATGGAGTGTCCCCCAGGTCCCACCAGAACCTAACAAACGAGTGGCCAGCAACAGCTGCACTGAGGCTGCACGGACGGGGCGTCCGCTCTGCTGCTGACCAGATGGGCAGGCCCAGTAAACAACTAACCTCAGTTTCTCCATCTGTGACTCGGGAGCGATCAGCAGGAAGCTCTTGCAGGGCTGTGGGGGAGCTTAATGCGCCCACGAGGGCATCACAGGCACAGTACCCTGCACCTCAGGGGTGCCCTGGGTGGGCAGGGTCTTCTTCCAGCCTGACTGCCCCAAGAAAGGGAAAGGGTGCCCAGATGCCAAATCCACAGTCCAAGCTGCGGTGTACAGTCCAAGCTGCGGTGTAGTTTCACTGAGATTCTGGAAATTCCTTTCTATTTTGCAAAAAGAGGAGCCAAATACCAGCACCAGAGGGGCGGCCCGGGACCCAGGCACCCACCTCACTGAGCCGCCGCGGAGGGCAGCAGGTCCGCAAACTGTAACAAGTTGGCTCTGTAGCCCTGTTTGTCAGAGGAGGAGGCTGTTCCCAGGAGGCGCAGGCTCCACGGGAGACACGCCAACTGCATTCAGCGGGGAAAGGTTGTCGCCCCAGTCCCTAGCGAAGGTCTGTTTGTGCAGGAATCCGTCACCAGCAGACAGGCTTTTACAGAAAGACTCACCATTCCCCTGCACCTGAATTGGGATGGAGGAACTCATTTGCTAAGGAAGGTTCTAGAAAGTGGCCGCTGGCGTGGTGGCAGGTGTGTGGGGATGGGAGAAGCGGCAAGAGGTCCAGGGACCCAGGCAGGATGGCCACTTATGGGTGTCCAAGCACCCACAACTGACCCATGGAGCCCAAGCAAGAAGGACACCAAGACCACAGCGGGTGGAAGGGACCCGGTGGGAGACCCAGCTGAGGACAGCAGAGGCTGAGGCACCGAGGCTCGGCCCTGCTTCCCCTGTGGTCCCTCACAAAGCCCCTCCCTCTTTCCAGACTCCTCCCTGCAGACCCTTCTCGGTCCACCCACCGGCCAAGGCTCAGAGGGCTCTGAGGAAGCCAGAGCAGGGTGGCAAGGCCCACCCAGGGTCCGGGTGCACCTGCAAGGCAGGCTCCGAGCTGCTCACCTCCCTGCTTTCCTCAATCTGGAAGCAGCTGGGGCTCCCAGGCAGGGTGCCACAGCACCACCTCTATTTACCCCTCTGTGAAATGGGAAGAAAGTTCTCCCCAGGTGAGGCTGTCTCACGGCTCAATCAGACACTCTCCAAGCTGATGCTCTGAAGCCACATGTGTACCTGTGTCCCCATCACTAATACTGTCCTCTTTCCTACCTTGGAGGGGGGGCTCAGCTCCCAGGAAAAGAGTTCCACACTTTTCTAGCATCCCCTCAGGAGCTCCGGTTCCATAGGAGGGGGAGCCCAGTGCCTGATGGGACAGAGCACCGCATGCGGCTGGGACCCCCGTGTCCTAGGGATCCAAGAGCACACGGCTGGGCAGCAGCCCCTGGACAGGACCCACCAGCCTTTGCGCAAACCAGGAAGGAGCTTGTCCCCCAGTACCAGGGCGCCCGGCTGGCAAGTGCAGGTGGCTGGACCCTGGCTCCCGCATTGGCACCTGTGAGGCCACACCGGGACCTTCGTGGGCCCCAAACACCATCCCCCCTCGTGCCTGATGGGTCTGTTGCCTTGCCCAGCCTCGGCTTTCAAGGTGACCTTCAAGGACTGCTGCAAGGACTGCCCTGCCAAAGAGCCTGGCACAGGCTGTTGGGCCCAACCCCAATCACTGACAGGTTCGCAAAGACACCCGAGCCGCAGGGCCTTGGCGGACAGGTAAGCAGGGTGATCTCGTCCAGAAATCTTGTCCACGTGAACCCTCCTTCAGAGATGGCCGAGGCCTGACACCGCAGAAGTCACTGTGTCCAGCTCCCACCTCTCCTGCCCCTCAGCCCCTCAGCTCCTCCCTGGGAACCACCTGTCAGCTGCCCCAGCTTGGCTTTGTGTTTTCACCTGGGAGTGACTCAGGGCCTCCAGTGGCCCGGGGTGATGGGGGAGCTTGCTGGATCCAGGCACCAGCAGTCACCTCCGTCCCCAAGGAAGGCCCTGCCAAAGGGCCTGGCACCAGGCACTCCACGTTTGGGCCAGGACTTGTTGATTGCTGTCCAGACTCCCAGTGACACATTCCCCTCCTCTGGGGTTGCCCCTACTTGGCCTCTGTGCCAGCTGACAGCCAGAAGTCTGGCGACTGAGCCCGGTGGGGTCTCTGCCTGGCGAGAGTCCTGGGTTTTGTCCCCATGCCGTGGGGGCTCAGGAAGCGCCCCCCAACTTCCTCCTGCTTCTCAGCATTCCCAGCTTCCAGCACACAGATGCCGGGCTCGAGTCTCCTCCAAGGCCAGGGCCACCCTCTACCAGGTCCCACTGAGCCTCGTGGGGCTGGCGAAGCCACCTGCCCACCTCAGCACTGCATCTCCAGCCGGGGCTGAGTGGCAGTGTGGGCACCGCGGCCCGGGACAGCAGCTTGGGCTCAGAGCCAGGCTTGTGGCTTCGCCTCTCAGCCTGTATCTCCTCCCCTGTGGGATGGGGACTCCATGGCACCCCCATGATGGACAGGATGCCATGGGCCTCAGCCCAGGGCAGACCTCAGTGTCCTTCCTGTGGCCGCTGCCAGAGGTGCGTGACCACAACACAGGTGTGGACTGACATCACTTTGCCTCATGCCTGCGGGGAGGGTCCTCTCCCCCATGGTCTCGGTGGGGCCTCATCACACCTGGGAAGTAACTGGGGCATCTCAATTTCACAGATGAGTAAAAGGAGGCTCAGAGCAGTTACAAGCGGAGAGACCTGGGCAGGTCTTTGTCATCTTGGAGTCCAGCGCATACACAGGACCGGCCTCCAATGGGCTAGACAGAGCTGCCTCCTACCCTTCCCTGCTCCCAGATGCACACACACAATCCCTACATATGCACAAGAGCACGCACTCACAAGAGTGTGCGCAGGTGTGTGCATGCCTGCACATGCACAGAATGCACAAGGCACACACAGGCACAGGCATGAGCACACACACGTACACACACACGCCTGCACCCGTGCCTCCCAGATCCACAGAAGGGAGGGGGCGGTTCCGAGGCAGGCTATGCTTCTCCAGCAGTGAGTGAACAAAATCTGTGCTGCGGGTGGCCAGGGCCCAGCGATGAGGGAATCTCACACCCTCCAGGGAGGGGACTCATCCCCATCATTGTGCTGACGCCTGGGCCTCCAGAGACCCACCTTGAACTCCTCCCCAGGCCTTCCTGGGTTCCAGACGGGCCGGCCACGGGCGTGACGCAGCGCCATCTAGCGGACAGCAGGGC